AGGCCACACTGAGCCCCAGCTCTCGCACACAGGCACGAGGCCATGCTGAGCCCCAGCTCTCGCACACAGCTGGTCAGCGCTCCCCTCACGTCTCTGTCCGTCTCTCCCCCTGCAGCCCAGCGGCACGCAGTACAAGATCCAGCTGTACGACAAGGGCGATTTCACCGGGCAGGTGTTCGAGGCGACGGAAGACTGCCCCTCGGTGCTGGAGCGCTACCGCACGCGCGAGGTGCACTCCTGCAAGGTGCTGGAGGGCGTCTGGGTCTTCTACGAGAACCCCAACTACCGCGGCCGGCAGTACTTGCTGGAGAAGGGCGAATACCACAAGCCAGTCGAGTGGGGCGCCGTCTGCCCCACCGTCCTGTCCTTCCGGCGCATCACGGAGTGATCCCTGCCGCCCCCCCCAGTCCCCGCGAGCGGCCGTGTGACCCCGTCCCCCTCGCCCCCTCCTCATCACCCGCCTTGACCGGACGGGGCTGGCCTGCAGCTCCCTGCCGGAGCCCCGGCTGAAATAAATCCCGACTGCACGCACTGTGGCCGAGTGTGTCTTTATTGAGCCGGCGCCGGTCGTGTGTGTTTGTGTGTGTCCGTTACCCAGGCTGCTGCTGCTGCCGGGAGTGTTTGAGGGGTACACAGAGCGGAGAGCTCTGCCAGGGGTGCCTCTTAAAGCAAGTCAGTACCAGCTAGTACAGCAGCTGGGAAGGACGCCCCCTGCAGGCTGGGAAACACATGCTCACACCTATCAGTAACAAGTACTGTCTCAGGGGTGGTGCAGGGTCCGCTCCAGAGAGGAGGGCTCATGGTCTCTCCTGGCTGGGCGGTCAGTCTGGGAAGAGAAGTCCGGAGAGCCTGCCTCAGCACAGGGAGGCAGGGAGGCTCAGTCACGAGCAGAGCTGAGGCGGGGGGGGGTGGGGGCCCTCTCCTCAGCTGAGTGCGGGCCGCAGGTCCAGGCTGACGGGACAGGGGTTGAGGTGCGTCCCGAAGGAGAAGCAGTTGCCCCCTCCTCCGACCAGCAAGAGCTCGGGCCCTCCATCCTCCAGGGGCGCGGAGCGATGGGAGTGCAGCATGAGAGGCCAGGGCACGGCCGACTGCACGGGGAGACAGAATTCCGACTAAGTAACAGCCTTTTAAACAGGGGGAAAAAGAGAAGAGAAGCATGTCTCTCCTATCACTTCCTTGTCTCCATCACTCCGATGTGCAGCTGTGCAGGTTTCTTCCACCTCCCTGAACCTCTCGCTGCCTGGCTACCTCTCTCTCTTCCCCTCCAGAGTGCTCCCATTCTACCAGCCTCACATCTCTCTCTCCCTTCCCTCTTCCCCCAGTCCCCCCACCCCGTCAAGCCTCTCCCCCTCCGTGTGTGTGTGACTCACAGTGTCCAGACTGTACTCCACACTGCCCCCAGTGGCCAGGTCAACCACTGCCACGCCTGGCACTCCCTCTGCCTGCAGCCAGACTCCTCCCACAAGAATAAGGCGCTGGCCAATCACGTGTGCCGAGTGGGAGTACCTGGAACAGGGGGAGGAGCCTTAGCTACAAGGGAGTTTTCATTTGTTTTGATGGAGCACACACACAAAGAGAGCAAACAGAGCCATCAGTACTATGCAGCACACAGAGACATGACCCAAAATCCTTCTCCAACAGCCAGCATTTAGTGGGATATACAAGCAGAAACAAAAAACAAAACAATTGTTGTACTTATCATTCACATTAAAGGCAATCTACTTATCAAAGGCTATATGTTTTAAGAAAGAAAAACAAGTCATATTATAAAATGCAAAGAAAGAAGTAACAGGTTTATTCCATGCTGAAAAGAGAAGAAAGAAAACAAC